ACTTAGAAGTAGATTCTATGCCTTCTATATTTATCAGAGATGCAAACCTTCATGAATGATGCATCCAAATAACACACTACCAGGCTTGCTTCTGATGCTAGATCTGACCTAAATTTCCGGATGAGTGACAAAGTTAAAGTTGTGGGAGTAGGTTTATTCTAAGGTAACTATAAGCCTTTTCTGGACCAAACTTACACGGATGATACATCTAAGGAATGAACACTACTGGACTTGTTTCGGATGCTGGATCTGATCTGCATTTACTCTGTCCTGATGACTGACCATGCAGGTTTAAGTTTTAGAGCAGATCTATGCGATTAAGGCCTACCGGGACCTATGTGATTATTATTAAGTTTTTAAATATTAAAGCCCTTTCCCAAGGAACTGCAAGCCCGATCAGACCAAAACTGCATGAATTCATATGTCAGTGTATTTCATATGTTAGCAGTAAAACATATGAGCACAATTAAAGGGAAATAACTCTTCACCATATGTACGTATTATATATTAGGCCCTTAGGAAGCAATTTCAGTATAGGGGGCACAGCCAAACATTTTCAGTTGGAGGCACTATCAACTACCAAAATTCCTTAACAAGCCAAAAAAAGGTCATCAGACCTTTTTATTGAGGGGCCACAAGCACTGATAAAGTAGCCAAGTTTTCTATATATCGAAAAAGTTAGGGGCATCCCCGTTCCCCTAGTAATATGTAGCCTATACTGAATATATACATATCTACAATGATCTCATGATGTTTGTGTTTATTCCTTAAACAAACCCCATTTCATTTAGTGTCTCCGTGGAAAAAAAATTGTACACCTTTAACCAAAAAAAAAAAAAAAAAAAAAAAAAAATTTTCCAAGTGCGATGGCATAATTTGGTTTAGTGTCCCATCGTAAATTTTTGATAACAAAATAATCAAAGGTGACGGTACATATCGAGTTTTCTGACTATTGACTCCGTTATATACGGAACGATTATGATTGTGAAACGTCTTGTACGCACGTAGTATCGTTCTTCAAAGGGAAAGGGGTGGTCACAAAATTTGGCAACTTATAGATCTCTACCTCTAGGCAAAAAAATAAATAAATTCTCCAAACACGAAAATTCGATTTCATGGGAATGAGGGGGGGGGAGGTAGTTAGATACCATCATTTTCCACAAATGTATTGGGACGATTTGACTATACTGCAGCTACAATGAGGAACATGAGGCCTTTCAATCAAAATATCAATCGTATTTTAAGTCTATAATTGTAGAAAAGTGTTCCCCTTCTAGATACTTTGTGTCTTTTTTTAATTCATAATCAAAAGCATGTCAAGTCATTATAATTAAAGTTTTAAACATATGATGTAATCAGTGGAATAAGCTATTCAGAAATGGTATTAACGGAAAATGTTTCAATTATATAAAGAATATGTACATGGGAATTAAGTCTTTAGTGAAGCAAAATGGAATGTCCTCGGGATTTTTTGAATGTAATGTCGGGGTAAGACAAGGCGAAAATCTGTCACCTTTTTTATTTTTCTTGTACATAAACGATCTTGAAGAATTTTTGGTAGAAAAAGACATACTCAGTAGTCGGATTACAAACTATTAGTAAAGAAATCGAAGATGAATTATTACTACATTTAAAACTTTTGATTTTATTTTATGCTGATGACACTGTTATATTGGCAGAATCTGCTGATGATTTACAAAAGGCATTGAATGAATTCCATACTTATTGTACTCGATGGAAACTTAATGTGAATGTTGATAAGACAAAAGTCTTGGTTTTCTCCAAAGGGGCAATGTTAAAGAGGAAATTTTATTACAATACCCAAAATATTGAAAATGTAAAAGAATTTAAATATCTAGGAATTGTATTATCAAGAACAGGTTCATACTGTAAAGCGAAGAAACAGCTTTGTGAGCAAGCACAGAAAGCAATGTACGGGGTAAAAAGAAAAATTAGACAATTCAATCTACCGATTGAATGTCAGCTTGACTTGTTTGACAAAGTAGTCACACCCATTTTACTCTACGGATGTGAGATATGGGGCTATGAAAATATGGATATTATTGAACGTGTCCATATAAAAATCTTAAAAACTATATTTAATTTGAAAAGTTCTACACCAAATTACATGATTTACGGAGAAACTGGAAGATTCCCTTTGTAAATCAATGTTTTTAACGAGAATGACTACATACTGGTCAAAGATGTTTACATGTACAGAAGATAAAATTGTCAATATTGTGTACAAGTATATGTATAACCAATTAAGTAATGATGGTATTCAATGTCAATGGATTGAATGTATTCAAAAGATTCTAAATAATTGTGGACTTTCATTTATATGGAATGGGCAAGGTGTGGTCAATGCTAAATGGCCAAGTGCTATTGTAAATCAGAATTTAAAAGACCAGTTCATTCAGAAATGGTCAAATGACATAAATAGTTCTTCCAAAGGCCAGATTTACAGAATTTTTAAAAACAAATTCGGATTTGAAAGCTATATTAAAAATCTACACCCAAAACAAAGAAAATTATTGATGAAAATGCGCACCTCAAATCATCATCTACCTGTAGAAACAGGGAGGTGGTGTGACACCCCATTAAATGAAAGAGTATGTTTACTTTGTAACAATGGAAAGATAGGTGATGAATACCACTACATTTTAGAGTATACAGCTTTTTCAGAGATAAGAAAAAAATTTTTACACAAAAGTTACTGCACCAGACCAAATTTTTTCAAGTTTTATGAACTCATGGCCAATTCAAATATACAATCTTTACAAAAACTATGTACATTTATTTCAAAAATATTTGAGACTGTCTGTCCTTCTTAGCTGTCCTCCTGGTGTTTTCTTTTTGCATATACTTTATTATTACATGTACTATATGTACATCCTCTCTACATGCAGTTGTAAAACATTTACTTATGTATATATATATATATATTTATATATATATATATATATATATATATATATATATATATATATATATATATATATATATATATATATATATATATATATATATACTGTATATATATATATATGTGTGTGTATATTTATACTAAATGTACCTCTGATGACTTTATAGACATTGTATATACTTTATGTTCCTCATGTACCATGTTGTATGGTTTGAGAGAATAAACTGATTCTGATTCTGATTCTGATCAGTGGTCGCCACTCGGAGGTAGTCCTTAAATCCGGAATCATGTAATGCCAATTCACTCTCCTTTCATCCTTTGTCAGGGGTCCTCATTCAATACGTTGCCCATGGACGCAACTCAGGACTCTTGGCATTGCGAGGATGTCCTCCCCCTAACACGAGCTGGACTTTTTATCTCAACTTATCCTTTTCTGTAACTGTAACAGTGAACGAAAAATATATACCTGAAGTAGAGGTTGATTAAAAAAATGAGGTGAACCTTTCGAGTAAATTTTTTAGTCCTAATTTTTTTTTAAATTAAAGTAGTTGAATTTAAGGTGTACAATAGAAAATCTATCATATTATTTAGAGTGTAAATTTGCATTTTAAACCATGCAAGTGTAGCCTATTAGAACTGTTAACAACCACCAGAATACATGTAGGTATTTGATTTTAACTGATTTATTATTTTCGAGTGTCAAAAAATTGAACCTTGAATTCCCCGGAAAAACATGAATTTGAGAGAGAGAGAGAGAGAGAGAGAGAGAGAGAGAGAGAGAGAGAGAGAGAGAGAGAGAGATTGCAGTTTTCAGGTGAATAAAATTCAAGATAAACAGAAGTAAAATTATTTCAAGTATTCCTTTGGAACCCTCCTCATCCGTTTGGCACTCAAAGACCAACAGACGAAAATGACTAAAGGGAGGCAACACTTTATTTTTAAGATGTACGACTTTTACGAGTTATCTTTCTTTACTCTACACAAATGAGTTTGGTCGTGTTTTACGCGGAAGCAGGACTGAGCACTGACTGTGATCGAATCTAAGTATCTTTCTCAAAGTGAAACAAAATATTTTGTTTGAACGAAGCATTTTTTTCTTCTATGCCCCCTCTCCCTTAGCAGTTGATCAAGTTTCGTGATGACTCCGGTTTAACATAGGAAAGTCTGTCGGATATTTTGAGACTCTCAATTCGTCTTAAAAGACCTTGAGGCTTTTGAATTAAGTGAATAAAAAGAAGCTATTGTACACGTATTAGTCTATTACTTTCTTGCTCAAATCTTATATACAATGTATTTTATTTCATTTTTTTTTTTTCAAAATGCGTGATTTGCCCGCCAATCTATATAATATATAAGTGCCCAAATACAGGGTCCCCCTTCTCGCATGATCAATGTAACCAACCCCTCACGACTTTTTCATAATGGGGGTAAACTTTTTGTTGAATGTTTTGTTTTAGTTTTTTTCTTAGTTTATGCAACAATTGCGTCATGTAATAATTTAAATATAGGGGGGAAAGTTACGGAGGCACGGGCTCTTCCTCGGAGGAGGGGGTTCTACCCTAAGGGATCTAAAGCCTAGAGAGCGGATTAAAGATTTCAGTTTTTCCTTTCCTTGGATTCAATAATGCAAATGTGAAATAGATCAATTTAATAAGATGGATATTTTTTTAGCGATTTGTTATAGACAAATTATGTTGATGTCCCTCACAAATACTTCTTTCTATAGATACATTGATCAACAAATAACCTTTTGAAACTTTTCCACATCAGTCTCCTGTATTTATTGTTGGGACAATTTCTTTTAATAAAAATGATAAAATTGTTCGAAGAAAAAAAATGATTTGTATATTTACGCATGTTATATCCTTTATGTTCCAAATTTAAAAAGTAGATGATTTAGGTGAACATATTTTATTTGATCTATATTTTTGAGCTATGGGTTACTGTTTGTTTTCACCCACTGAGGGATTTGAAGAAGGAATTTCAATTGAAATCAAGATGACTAATTTTATGTATACCCAACAATGCGCCTCCGTACAAGAACAGTCTAGCCAATCGCGTGCCGTCTTTCATCAATCGACGGAGTGTTTACTCAAACATTTTCAATGTGTCACGACGGATAGAGCGAACAGCTGAAGGCTGATGTCAGTATGCGAAACATGTGAAAAGAGATGTGATAGAATTGGTTAACAACTCTCACAGACTTGACAAAATTTTCTGTTTTGTGATTTTGTATCCTTTAATACCTTGGAAAATGGCGAAAACTTGTTTGGGACAGCATTTAGTGTTTTTCTTTCTGTGGACTTTTTACGTATCGTTGGCGGATCCAGACGGTGGGGCCCAGACCACTGGGTGCCACCGGGTAAAACAAGCATACCTACGGGAACACATCGGTCCCGCTAGTCTAGTCCCCAGTGAACCTATTTATGGTATATATTATATTTAGATAAAAATGATTTGTTTTATCATAAGCATTTTGCATTTTTTGAAGGAGCTTTAAAATATGAAAAGTATATTTTATCTCAATTTGATAAAATCAAATTTAATAAATAAAAATATTTTGATTTTATTTTTTTTTTTACTTTACTCTAAATTTAAAATTATTTTATTGTAGAATTAAAATTAATATGTTACAATTCTCTGTTATAAAATAAAACACTGAGGCCTATTTCCTACTTATACGTTTTAATCTTTTCAGATGGTGACATTTCAATATGTTTTAATGCTGCTTCTAAAGATAAAAGTGAAAAATCCTGCTGCTCCAAGGCCTCAGAACTGAGTTATGTCACTGCTGCAGAAAAGTTTCTGCGAAAGACAATTCACACAAAAAATGCATACCTGAAAAAATTAGTGATGGACCATATCTTACAGTATGAAGGTCAGTATATTTAGTTTGTGTACACAGTACACAGGGAACAGGTACTTCCTAATGTAAAAGGAAACAACTTATGTAATGACAGGTGAGACTTCTGTGTTACAAACAGTGGTGCAACAGTAGATAAGGCACGCTAGATCAAACTTTTCCTGCTTTACACAAAATACAGAATATAATGCTAATAAAAGCATTGATATATATCATAGTTGACCTTTCAATTGAAACAGTGTACTCAAATGTTTGAGTGAAAAGAAAACAATTATCACCTTTAACCGTGAATAATTATATTTTGATAATTATAATAACGTTTATTTTCACAGAAGGTGTGATATTTCTTCAAACTTAAGGAAATGCAGTTTAATCTTATAATTGTCATAACTTTTTATTCCCACACCCTTAAAAGCACAATGTAAAAAAGATCAAAGGGTAACAAAAAATCCAGAACATAGATTATACATATATATCTTCTTAAGTCTTAGCAGGGTATTATGACAAACTGCTAATTGATAATTATAGAATATACACTACAGTGGCGAATATCTTAAATGCTTAGACCAGTCCATAGAAACTTCTGTCTGATTATGTATAATTAGCCCTTTGAAAAAAATTAAGGAATTTTAAACTAATTATGCTGTGCCTAGTTCTTATACAAACACGGTGCTTGATTCTTAGGAAATATTTACTGTATCATAGCCTGTATAAAGCATTGATTTAATAATCCTTCTATGGAAAAAAACATTGCCTTTAGGGAGAAATTGAAATAATTTCCTTTTTAATCCCGACCTTAATTACTTTCTAATGCAAACAATTTCAATGTTAAGTTGATTAAATCTTTCCCAACATAATGATGAAAGTTTGCTGATTTAATAATGACCCTGTGTTGGAGGAAATCATATTTTTGCACTTGTTCGTGTGGGGGGATAATGATTAATCTGGGTTTAAAACACTTGATTATCTACTTAAGTTAGATTATTACCACAATTCCGTTTGTGGCGTGATAATTTAGCCATGAGTTTCCTGGAATGGCATATCATAGCTTGTGATGCTGACCGCGTCAATGTTTAATTCATTGAATTTCAAATGTTTTTGTAATGAATTACAAAAATCTCACAGAATATTTTTATCACAATGCAATTTTCTCACCAGCACAAATTTTCACACGTTGTTGACAAACATGCAATTGACAGAAATAATGAAGTTGTCGTCAAACTGTCAGGAATGTTATACCACAAGGATGTGATTAGTTTGTAATAAATGCATTTTAAAATCATTAAGTGGAGCTTACTTTATTAAAAAAAAAATCATGCATGGGAAACAAAAAACTTTTGAAGTTCCATTTTAGTCAATAAAATGTAAATTGTGGGTTCAGAGTTGAAAACAAAAACAAACAAGAAATAAATCGCACACATGCATGCTTGCTGGTTTTTTTGGTTAGGTTGGTGCTTCTTCAGACGAGGTTAGGTGTGGAAACAAGGTGACAGAGAAGGCAGTGGTTTGACGTTAGTGGTTCATAAAAAACCTCACGAGCCATTTGTGGAAGTGTATGAGCCATTCTCTGGTGACTTATGTTAGGGAGTTGTTGATCATAGAGCTTCATTGGAATGGCAATTAACTGATTTATTGAAAGATTACTCCATTTCTACAAGTAAAAGAATAGTAAATTTTACAGTTTCTGTGCTGTTCATTTAAATTTTGCCTACCCTGGTATTGTAGATTCCTTATTTTTCATATCAAGAAAATGACTCCTAGACGTCAGGTTATGAGTACATGAATTTGTAATATTGGTCTGTTAATCCAGAGTGTTGACATGCATTTCGAGAATATAAATAATGCATGTGATTTTATTTGATGTATGGTGCACCTTGCTAAATTGTATGATAATTAAGGAATCTATACTAAGCCGTATAAACTTGTACCTTTTTTCCTTTCTGCTAAATCATTTATTCACAGTGAATTTCTCTTGCATGCAGTGTCAAAACCCCCCTTCTTGATCTGCCAGGGCTACTGTTACAGGTTCTTTTTCCAACATTGTAGTGTACATGTCGTCTGTATGTGAAATTATTCTGCAGACAATGTTAGGATGCTCTCTGTGCATACACGATGTCAGTCCTGATCACATCGTACATCCCATTTAACCCCAAGCACCTGTTTCGATGTGTCGATCTTCAAATATTGATGACTTTAATATTGACTGTTTTTAAAATTTACTTATACATAAAAAAGAAGTCATTGAAAGGCTGGAAGAATGGGTATCCTGCTGCTTCTTGAAAGAATTTTTTACACAGGAAATCAGGTGTGGCCATTAAAATTGATGTGATCAGCCAATTTTGAGTGTACAGGTGAAATGTAGATACAAAAAACTGTTGTTTTGGCAAGAGATCAAGTTTTTTAGACACCACTTTTTAAAAAAGAAAATCTTGATGAAAATATTATCCAAAAACATTTAGAAAATTACCTTCATATGTGCGATATCTTTCTATATGATGTGCTGTGTGATTAATTTAAGAACAAAAATTAATGGTAGAGAAATTTCAAAGCTAACGAGTCTAGTGCAGCTTGAAGAGAAATGAAAATGAGGAAAGCCTTGATGATGGCAGGTCTTAGAATATTGTTGAATCATTTGATGTATCCATATAACCATCAACACATCAGCAGCCAACAGTTGCCTGATAATTCTGATTCCTATACAAACATATTAAAAACAAATTTCCAGTTAATGATTGACACATTGAATGGTAATTCTATATCGGAAACATGCTGTCTGAAAATTGTAACATACTTTACTCTCCCTCACCACACACATGTTCGCAAATTTAGATTTTAAAGTATTCGGTTATCATTTAAGAAATGGAATAATGTTTTTCAAGAAAATTTGAAATCCATTTAGGACTCCTTAAAATCTGTTGAATATTGATAAAAATTAGATCTATGTCAACTTTTTCACTGAATGAAGAAAATAACCTAATCAGAGAAATAGGGGAAAAAAACAGACGTAACGAGCCATTTCCTTCATATAAAATCTTTTTATATTTTAAGTTTTATTGGACAATCATTTCCTTCATATAAATATATTGATTCTTTTTATATTTAATTTCACCCTTTGTGGAGTTTTTATTGGACATCATCTTTGCTACAAAAATATATTTTCATAATTATCAAGTGATTCTGAAAGAAACTTTTCACATTTTCGACTTCTTCTAAAGAACCACTGTGCCAATTTTGACCAAACTTGGTACAAAGCATAAAGGGGAATTTAAATTGTTAAAATGAAGGGACATATCAATATAACATATATTGATTCTGTAGTAAGGAAAGCATTTTATATAGAAATATATAGGAAAAATCTTTGAAAATCTTCTTCTCAAGCCTCTGGGCCAGATCTTATGTGGAAGCATGTAATGTGTTTAATGTTCAAACCCACACATTAATAGAAATATATAGGAAAAATCACCCTTTGTGGAAGAAGGTCATTGTTTAAATCACACACTTTAAATGGAAAATCTTTGATCACTGGGCCAGTATTATGATATCATTTACGCCCAATTTGCTACAAAAATATATTTTCGAAAATCTATGTTATGTGCCCATAAGGATCATGTTGTAGATTTCAAAATGTCTAAATTATGATCAGTGGGGTAGGGTGGGGATGCAATTTTTTCAAGGGTGTCTGGGTGAAAAAAATTTAAATGGGTGGGAAGATATTGATATACTTCAGGTAATGGTTGAATTTTGATATAGATATGTAATAGCAGCCCCCCTCCTCCAATTTAGGTAACAGTCAGATCACCTTTAAAATTGATATTTACACTTGATATTAATATTCTGATAGTAAATATACATTAATTAACAAAATAAACTGACACTTAATGTATTGATTTTAATTTGAACATCATATTGCAGCTGTGACAAATTGATTCAAACAATGTACACAGATCTTCATAGAATTCTTTCACAGTGTCCTTAACATGTAGGAATATACAGACTCTGATCAATTAAATCATTTGTTCATCAAAGGAATAAGGTCATACGGTATCCAAATCTCAGAAAAAATCTCAATCATCATAAAATTGATAGAGTTTTCCCCCAATGTAAAACCACATAGGTTTATGTTTATAGATGCTTCATGGCCAGCAGTTTGATTACAAACTCATAAGTAATCAACGTAAATAACCAGATATGTACCTGGACATGCACCTTAGCTTAGATCATGCAGGACTTGCCTTTGGCAAGAGAATGGAGCCCTCACCTGAACTGTAAAAAATACAGACAAGCGAGGATTTTTTTTTAACTTAGTGCTGTAAGATTGCTGCAGTTTATGGTCTGCCATTGGAGACTTTGTGACATCTCTCATCAGACGCCCCTGCAATTTTCCTAGTGATATATAGTGGGGGCGTAGAAGACGCATAAAATACACAACACTTTTATTTCTCTCCCTTATCTGATTAATTTTGGTGTAGACTTGTTTTTGATGGCTGCCTAATTGGCAATCTGATGATACAATATTGTGTTCAGAAGCAGCTCCAGCTAACTATATTGTTCTATAAATCGTAGGAAGCAAATAATTAAAATGATTTAACTTTTGATTGAGGATATCAATCTTGACAGTTTGTGCTTTATCTGAGATAAGGTATATAAAATGTGTGTAAATTTGACCATCTGCTATTTATTAGTCATGATAACACTCAAAAAAAGAAATGTTTACATTTTACGTGAATTTGACCTTATCCAGTTCTGTAGTACTATGGCTTGGCTCAGAAATGGAGACAGATCAAGGTTAGCTAATAGACAGCTTATATGTACGTAATCAGTAACTGGCTCTCTGGAGTGATCCTGGCTCGGTGTCTTGTCTGGACATCGTTAATCAGAGGGTAATTGACTGAGATGTGAAAGTAATTAATCAGGGATGATCAATTAATTGGAGCCTGTCTGTAAGAGTAATTAGTATTGTTAAACACAGGGATGTACAAAACATGGCGGCTACTGTCCAAAAGAGAGGGGCCAAG